ACTGAAGTTCGAACTCCCCAGCCGGACAACGTCGTCTTGTGAACCACCAAGGGCAACAAGGACAGAGCGCGCGCCCTTTTCAAAATTTGGCTTCCGCCTTCGCTCCGCGCAAATCCGTCTCACAGTTTCTGACAGTTGCACAGGTGAAGTGGTGGTGGTTTCAGAAATCTAGCTCTCACATTCGTGCTGCGCAGACTCGTTGCGAAAGCCTGCAGCACTCAGCAGACACAGGGCGGCGTCCTTTCAAAGTTGGGCTCTCGCTTGCGGCGCCCTTTCGCTTGCAATAGTTCCATACCGTTGTAGCAGCTGCACGGACGAAGGGCGTTCGTTCTCAGCATGGGACTCTCGTTCAGAACTTGGCAGTGTTACGACCCGAAGTTTCAACATCTCCAACGGCTGCACGGACGGAGGGAGGCTACTTCGCAAAGTGGGGTTCTCGCTTGACACTTCCTTCAACCTTGTGGCTCTACATTTTGAGATTCTTAACAGCTTCTAATGAGAAGGGTGGATCCTTATTCGATACAGGGCCCTCGCTTGAAGGGACGGGCGCGGGGGCGCCCGTTGGTTGTTTGTTTTGTTTGTCTTTTTCGTGTGTGTGTGTGCTCTCCGTTGGGGACAGAACATGTGCCCGGGACATGTGATGAGGCAATTTTGGACGGGAGGGTGCATTGCAGCGTCGCTGATGCGTCTCAGTCTGCTCTGGTTCTCATCCTGTTCCTCCTTTCCCGCGTCCCTCCTCCTCCAACCTCTTGCTCCACCCGCTCCACTCCTCGGCCCCCCTCCCATAAGCAGCGCACGACGGCTCTTGCTGAGAAAACTCGTTCCAAGGAAGCCTCTCGTCGAGGTCAGTACCTCTGGCGCTCGAGCTGGTAATTTAGTGCAGTGCACCCTCTCCGTCCGGGCATTCCCCTCCGTTCCGTTCCGTACCTCCTCTTCCTCCTCTTCCATCTCTTTCTTCTCTTATATGTATATTGATCCTCCTCCTCCTCCTCCCCCTCCTACTCCTCCTCCTCTTTCACCTCCTCCTCCTCCTCCTCCTCCTACTCCTCGTCGTCCTCCTCCTCCTGCTGCTGCTGCTCCTCCTCCTCCTCTCCTCCTCCTCATCCTCCCCATCTTCATCCTCCTCTTCCCTCGCTCCTCCTCCTCCTCCCTCCTCCTATTCTCCTCCTCCTCCTCCTCCTCCTTCCTTCCTTCCTTCCTTCCTTCCTTCCTTCCTTCCTTCCTTCCTTCCTTCCTTTCCTTCCTTCCCTTCTTCCTTCCTTCCTTCCTTCCTTCCTTCCTTCCTTCCTTCCTTCCTTCCTTCCTTCCTTCTCTTCCTCCTCCTCCTCCTCCCTGCATCATCTCCCATTCGGCCTCCTCCTCCTCCTCCTCCCGCCCTCCCTCCCTCCCTCCCTCCCGCCCTCCCGCTCTCCCGCCCTCCCTCCCTCCCTCCCTCCCTCCCCGCCTCCTGCCCCCGCAGGAGGCGGAGTCCCACCCGCTGCCCGACGTCGCACAGGCCACCGCAGGACGCCCGTGCGCGCGCGGTCTGCCGAGGGTCGAGGATTCGAGGCTCGAGGGTTCGAGGTTCGAGGGTCGAGGTTCGAGGGTCGAGGATTCGAGGCTCGAGGACACGATGTTCGAGGCTCGAGGACACGAGGATCAAAGCTCGATGGTCGTTGGTCGAGGGTCGAGGGACGTTGTTCGAAGGTCGTTGGTCGAGGTTCGAGGTTCGAGGATTCGATGTTCGAGGGTCGAGGATTCGAGTTTAAAGGCTCGAGGGTCGTTGGTCGATGGTCGTCGGTCGTTGTTCGAGGGTTGTTAGTCGAGGATTCGAGGGTCGAGGATTCGAGGCTCGAGGCTCGTGGACTCGAGGATCGAGGTTCCAGGGTCGTTGGTCGAGGATCGTTGGTCCAGGATTCGAAGGTCGCTGGTCGAGGTTCGAGGGTCGAGGATTCGAGGGTCTAGGATCGAGGTTCGAGGCTCGAGGGTTCGAGAGGATTCGAGGGTCGAGGCTCGAGGACACGAGGATCGAGGTTCGAAGGTCGTTGGTTCAGGATCGTGGGTCAAGGATATGAGGGTCGTTCGTCGAGGATTCGAGGGTCGACGATACGAGGTTCGAGGCTCGAGTACTCGAGGATCGAGGTTCAAGGATTCGCTATTCGAGGGTCGAGAGTCAAGGATTCAAATATTCAAAGATTCGAGGCTTCGCGGTTCGAGGATCGAGGATTCGAGGGTCGAGGCTCGAGGGCACGAGGATCAGACACTAGGTGGATGCGGCACTCACGTATGTTTCATTATCCACCTTCGTCTATGACATCTGTTTCTTCTCGCCCTCCTCGCAAAAGCGGCACCAGTCGCCACCGAAGAAGTAGACAAACGCATGGCTCGCGGCAGCACTGGGCACGAGCCCAAGAGGGCCGCCTATGGCCAATCCGTTGGTTGTGGCGTGCCTTGGTGGCACGAGCTGCCAAACAGGCTCTTGCGACATGTCCACGCGGGCGAGCGCTGAACTCTCTAGTGCGCTAGCCCCCTTTGTGCGGGGTGGAGCCGCTTCTGCCGCGGTTTGAGCCGAGGCCCGCGCATCGGCCCCAGCCGCGGCCTGTGCACGGTCGCTTTATTGGCACGAGCCAGGCCGGGTGTCGGCCCGGGCCGCGGTCTGCGCGTGCGCAGCAGGCGTTGCAGGAAATGCCCAGAGGTGGACAGGCGCCCCTCAGAGCAAGCGGTTCCGTCCAGGTTCTCTGAAGCCGTGTCGGTTCAAGGCTGGCCAGGTCTCCCCCAGGGGCCATGGCGAGCCACGGACATGCAGGTACGCTCGTCTCTCTTATTGTTCGAGGTGCCACGCAATCCCAAGATGCTAAACGTTCAGCCGTAGGCGAGCCAATCCGTGACGTCTAAGCCTTCGCTTCGGCGGTGTGAGACGGCCGTTTCCACGAGGGTGGCATCCCAAGACGGAGGATGACCAACAGTTCTACGCAACTCGGTCAACACAGCGGCGACCTACCGCTTTCAACGACGAAGCCCCCGCTAGGAGCTGATTGTAGAGACGGTGGCGACCAGCCTCTGGCAGACGTAAATCCTTGCACTTGGTGGATTGCGAAAGTATTAAGCTGGTTGGATCGTCGCACATTGTCTTGTAGAGGTCGGCAAGGAAGAAAGCGACGCGTCGACACGCAAGTTGGAGACTTGTCATACTCGCATGCGAGCGCAGGGTCTCGGATACCTGCTCACGGCGTGGCCCTGGAAGAAGATCAAACAAAGCCTTGGGCGCTTGCGCCAGCGCAGGCACGCATGTGTTAGACAAACACGCGCGACGGCACAAGGTGCAAGCTAGAAACAAGTCGCTGCCGATCTACATGGTGGGTATATGGTCGTGGGCAGTTTTTTGTGATCCCACGAACACGCAACCGCATTTCCCTTCGCGGGAACAAGGCATCCTGCAAATCTTCTTTGTGTTCGCCAGACCAGCCCCAATACGCTGCGCACGTATCTCAAGCATGTGCAGGGGGCGCACCGCTTTTTTGAGGATGCCGAATTACTGGGGCACGCCTGTAGTTCAACAGGTGCGGCGCGGATTCCGGAAAACCGCGCCTGCCCCCAAGCTTCGCTTGGGCTCGCAAGCAGGAGAAGTACGGAGGCTGATTAAGCCGTGCGTGGGGTGTGGGAACAGGTATTTCGGGGCCATCTCAGCGGTCCGTGCGCCGTTTCTCCTCTGGGTCCCTTGAGAAGGACTGCCGCTGCAGAGGGGCAGGTCGCACTCCGAAGCGCGCTGCTTGAGCGGGGCAGCTGCGGTGGTCCTCGTGCGCAGGAACCGCGTCCGTGTGTCGGCGACGCTCTGACGGGAGTGCTGTTTCAGAACGTTTGGCAGGTCATCTTGCGGTTACCACAGTGTGCACGACATGTCTCGCTAGGCGGAGAAAATGGCACTGACAAGCTGTTCTCGCGGTTTCCGTCCGTCTATGTCCAGGACCTCCAGCGGCACGGCCGTGACTCTGCCAGAGCGCGACAGGCTGGGCAGCCACGACGGAGGCGAAGGATGGCGAAATACATCCTTGACGCAGGGGTTCGCTGGCGGCTGTGCTGAAAGCCCGAGAAAGGCGAAGTGCAGCGTGTTTATGTGTATATATATATATATTTATATATACTGGGGGGAGAACCAGGCTGAATAACCTGCCATCTCGAGTTTGGCGTGGAGCATCCAGATTCTGAGTGAAGAAGTGTGCGTGCCTTCCTCTCTGCCTGCGCTGATTCCGTCTTTCCCCGACGCTGCTGCGCGATAGTGGTATCAACCTCCATTCTCGCTCCTCCTTCTTAATCTTCGAGCACGCAACAGAACGATTCCCACGATGGGCGAGCGATCGCGATCGCCACCATGGGTGGTGACACAACGAGTCTGAAAGCCTGGTTGGCTTCTCTCTCCTCACCCATCGATGCCGACCGAAATTCTACTCGTGCGGGGGCTCTGGGGAGTTCCATATTCGAGGGTGTCCGCTCTTAGAGGGACGATCACTTGCCTCAGCAGAAGGCTTGTTACTATGAGAGGAAAGTGGGATGAGTGAGAGGGCAGATGACATTGTCTGCGTATGTCGTACCCTTCTCTCCTTCTCCCGCTGCCCTTGCACAGTCTTCTTCTTGAAATTTCTACGCGCCCATGAACCAAGATACTGGCAGCATCTGTTCACTCAGTCCCGCCGCCCCGCTCGAAGGCGGTGACACAACGAGTCGCGATCTTGAGAGTCTGGTTCGCTCCGACCGAGATCGCGCGGGGGTTCTTGAGAGTTCCACATTTGAGGGGAGCCGTTTGGAATTTGCCGATCACTCTCGTTTCTCTCGCAGCGAACCTCCTCCTACTACTGCTACTCCTCCTCCTCCTCCTCCTCCGTAGCCATTTGGGCTCAAGGCTTTCGTTTCCCAGCGGAAACAAGTGGATGCCGCTAGTCCGCGGCTAGACCCCAGTTTCTTCATCGCACCGCTGCGTGAGCTGCCCAGCGGCGCAGCATCCTGTGTAGCTCCCACTCTGTGACATGGGCGAGAAGCCAGCTCAGCAGTATGCTTGGTGCTCGTGCGGAGAGTGGACCTACAACTGGCGGATTGAGGAGCTCGGTGGCAAATGCCTGTTCTGCAAGAAGCAGCTTGAACCCTTCAAGCCCAAGAAGAAGCACCCGAAGTCCGATGGCGGTGGCACGCCGCCATGGAGAGAGCCGTCGGCAATATCGCTGCGAGACTTTCTTCCTGAAGAGCTTCGGGCCACGCCTGCCGCGCAAGCGTTGCAGGCTGAAATCGGCAAGGCAGAGCAGGAGAAGCAGCAAAAGGCCACCAAGGACCCGTCCGCGGCGAAGCAGGCGATGCTCAGGGCGGATCGCATCGCCGAGCAGGAAGAGCAGCGCCTCCTCAAGAGCAGGCGCTGGAGGAGGCCAAGAGGATTCACAACCTCCAGATCGAGACCCCCCTCGCCGCCGAGGCCGAGCGCACGAAGGCGCACGACGACTTCTGGCGCTTGGGCCCGACTCCCAGGCGTCCTGAACCCAAGGATTCAGCTGCAGTGTTCTTTGAGGTGGACTCCGCCCTCTTCGAGAACATTGACGAGTACGGGGACTCTGTGCAGGAGTCACTACGCCAGTGGCAGGCAGAAGTCGCCCGCCACCAGCAGGAGCTTCAAGAGGGCCAGGAACGCTTCGAGGAGCTTCTCAAGAGTATCAAGGCGGCCGTGGAGGAGCCCGCCAACAAGAAGAGACGTACCCCCGAGGGCGCAGTGCATGGTGCGGCGCCTGCGGCGCGTGTTGACACGCCAGCCAAGCAGGCCCCGCCTGCGGCGCCAGCCCCGCCCATCGTGCCGCCTCCAGTCAAGGCGCCGCCTGCCAAGGTGCCAGCGTGCCCGCCAGCCAAAGGCGGAGGCACAGCGGCGCCTGCGGCACCGTCGGCGGCTGAGCGCACGGCCAACCTCCTCACGGAGGAGCAGGCCACCGCTGCTCGTGAGGCCATCTCCCAGAAGGCTAAGGAGGCAGCAGCCGCGGCGAAGCAGACGGGGAAGCCCGCCACTCTCACCGCCGCCAAGGAGGGCCTCAGGCAGGCGGTCGGTCATCCACCCCCTGAAGTTTCTTCTGCTGCTGCTGATGGCGCTGCTGCGCCCAGCGGCCAGCCGTCGAGGGGGTGACGAGGCACAGGTGACGTTGTTCTTCGGCAACGTCACCCAGTGGGGGCCCAAAGCCTCCAGGTACATTCACAAGATTCGCAATCACTACAAGGTGGTCGCCCTAGCGGGGACCCACGTCGAGAAGGCGCGCATCCCCCTGGAGCGCGAGACACTACGTAAGGATGGATGGAAGTTGGCCGCCACACCAGCAGTGAAGAAGCATGAAGGCTACTCCGCTGGCGAATGGATATTGGCTCGGAATTTCGTCGCCACCACGACGATGGACAAGCTGCGCATGGACATGATGGCCATGGGCCACAAAGACCCTTTCAGAGGTTTCGTCACCATTATATGGCACCTGCAATCTGGCAGCTTGGTGGTAGTTTCAACGTACCTTTCTCCAGGCATGGGAGTCCAGCGCAGAAATGCAGATACCCTCAAGGCCTTGTCGGCCTTTCTTTTCAAGATCAGAGACCCGTGGATCGTCCTCGGAGATTGGAATATGTCGCCAGCCGCGTTCACCAACACTAAGTGGCCCAGCAAGATGCAGGGACACATCGTCACGGCTGGCAACGTCGACTTCACTTGCGACCAGGGCACCAATGGCGGCATGCATGACTATGCGTTAGTCAAGGATGGATACCAGGACTTTGTCAATATTCAGGCGGTACTGACAGTTCCTTGGAGGCCACATTCTGGACTGGAGATAACGATGGCGGGTTCCAGCAGCAAGTGGTGGCACCGCAGCATGGAGTTGGTCCCCGCGTTGCCCGCATACTTCAAGCCAAAGCTGCAGGCCCAGGCTGACAGCAAGCGTAGCAAGCAGAAGAGAAAGCAGACTCAACGGCGAGCTGAAGCACTCCCAGAACAGCTGCAGGATGCGTTTAATGAGATGATTCACGAGCAGGACGGCCAAGAACCAACCCAACCACAGTTCCACATCCCTGAGGACAATTGGACTGTTGGACTTGCTCAGGCGGACGCTCTACTCACGGATGGACTTGATTTTGCCCCCCACCCCATCCCAGTCACTCAGGCGCTGGCTCGAGACGAGGAGGGACAGCACCAGATAGATTGGCATTATGCGAGATGGGCCACGGCCTTAGAGGAAACTATCCTCTCTGTTGAGCCAGCGCCCCAGCGACATTGCACGGGCAGACGCAACGGCTTCCAACTCCAATGGGAAGTATCTAAGTCAACCCCAGGGCGAGTTCATGTGGAAGATAAGCCTGCTGAGTTATGGGGCGTGATGTCGACCTTGGTTTCACGACTTCGCAAGCTGGTCGCCAAAGGTCTGGACCCAGTGCAGCAGGAGGACATCATCAGGAGGTTGAAAGAGATTGGCGCAGGCATTCTCAAGGGCACGCCACTGCAGTACTTCGGCAAGAACAGTGATACTGATCGCGAAGAATGGGCAGAGATGTACTGCAGGCTTTGCAACGTGGACCAGTCGCAGATCCAGGCTGAGTACTTCGCAGTGATGGCCATGAAGAAGGCCAGTGACGCCCCGCCGCCAGACCGCTCCGACCTCGACCCTGGCATCCTGAAGCTCATCAGCCGCACTCCACCCTTCCAGTGCTGGCCAGTCTCTGGCACTCCCTTCGCTCGGGAAGGGGCGGCTTCGGCATCTCCAGATATGTGTGTCCTGGGTGAGGCACACGGGGTCGGGGGCTTCCCCCGCGGACCCACAAGTCCTACGGCTACGGCTACTCCATCTACTTACCTGCGTGGCGATGATACGCCTCAAGTTCTTCTGGCCCCTCTAGGCAGTGAAGATTGTCAAGGTGGGCGTCGTCCTGGCGAGCCTCTGGGCACACCTTGGGCGTCCACTCATGATGATGAAGACCTGCCTGGCCAGCGTGAGGGAGAGGTGCGTGAAGGCTCTCCACAGATGGAGATACGGCAGAATGTTGATATGTGCACGCTGGAAGACGTGTACGGAGTCGGGGGCTGCCCCCGCGGACTCACAACAGCGACGGCCTCCTCGTCTACTACGGCCTCATTGCTGCAGGTCGGCCCCCCTACAGAGCCCCTGGGCCCACAATGCGAGCCCACCAACCCCGCAAGGGGCGGTAGTAAGGGAGCAGAGTGGGGACAGTTGGGAGGCCAGGCGAATGCCGTAGGGAGCGAGCCCGACCTGCGGCACAAGTACATCGACGGCAGCAGCGGGATGACACGCAGGTGTGCCCTGGACGAGGCACAAGGGGACGGGGGCTTCCCCCGCGGAACCAGACCATCTACTCACCCACGTGGCGATCATACGCCTCAAGTTCTTCTGGCCCCACTAGGTAGTGAAGATTGTCAAGGTGGGCGTCGTCCTGGCGAGCCTCTGGGCACACCTTGGGCGTCCATTCATGATGATGAAGACCTGTCTGGCCAGCGTGAGGGAGAGGTGCGAGAAGGCTCTCCACAGATACAGATGCGGCATTATTTTGATATGTGCACGCTGGAAGACGTGTACGGAGTCGGGGGCTGCCCCCGCGGACTCACAACAGCGACGGCTTCCCCGTCTGCTTCGGCCTCATTGCTGCAGGTCGGCCCCCCTACAGAGCCCCTGGACCCACAATGCGAGCCCACCAACCCCGCAAGGGGCGGTAGTAAGGGAGCAGAGTGGGGACAGTTGGGAGGCCAGGCGAATGCCGTAGGGAGCGAGCCCGACCTGCGGCACAAGGACATCGACGACAGCAGCGGGATGGTCTGTCGCACTAATATGGACGATGAAGATGACGTGTTCGCTCAGCCTGAACACGAGGAGGAAATCGGCCCCCCTCCCGACCTGGAACCAGCAGAAGTTCCATTTGAAGTTGGCCCTGCACAACTGGCACAGGCAACCCTGTCCCTCGACTTCTTGGACAAGGTTAATGACCGCACGGAGTCCCTCGAGAGACGAGCGCAAGCACGGGCCTTTGCCAAGGGCCAACATAGCTTCATGAAGTGGATACGAGAGACGTGGGCCAAGAAGCCTGGGATCTTGCACCGTCATGTCAAGGGCCCCCAGGCTGATACCACGGAAGTTGAAGGCATGGCCGACCCCGCTCTCATCATGAACAGCCGCCACAAGTACTGGCAGAAGGTCTGGACGGACAAAGTTGACACCATGGAGGACATCGTCTACGAGATCGGTCAGACCCTGCGGGTGGCGAAGAAGCAGAACATCGAACCCATCACACTAGAGGAGCTGGAGAATGCACTAGCTCGTATGTCGGCCAACAAGGCCAAGGGTGTTGATAACATAAGCGTGAACGATTTTGCCAGGCTACCCGTGTCAGGCAAGCAGATGCTAGTGGACTTCCTCAATCGTGCTGAAGCTGTAGGCTCATGGCCGAGGCAGATCCACGCGACGATAGGGGCACTCGCAGCCAAGCCCAGAGGAGGAGATAGAGTATTGGGGCTCCTCCCCACCACTGGAAAGGTTTGGAGTCAGACTCGAGTCGGACCAGCTGCAGAATGGTCCAAGGGGCTCAGCGACTTCTGGGACACGGCGCTGGCGGGGTCCTCGGCCCTTCGGGCCGCCATGCTTCGATCTCTCCTCGACGAAGTGGGGATGGTCAACAAGAAGCATTTCCTGACCCTCCTCCTAGACCTGGAGAAGTTCTATGATAGTGTATCGCTGTGCATCCTTATGCGCACAGCCATCAAGAAGGGGTATCCTGCCATTGTGGTCCTCATGGAGGTGCAGATGTGTATCGCCCCAAGGATCCTCAAGCTCAAGCAGTGGGCGAGTGAACTCCTGATCGTCACCCGATCGTTGGCGGCAGGCAGCCCCAAGGGGGTTCAACTCGCCAAGGTCTTTCTCCACCCCATCCTAGAGAGAGTTCACAAGGTCGCCCCACAGCCTATGCTGGCCACCTACATTGATGACACTGTGGCACGAGATGAGGATGATGATGAAGAGATCGTTATCGCCAATATGACTGAGGCTGCAGCTGAGTTCAGAGCGGCCTTCGTGGAGTACAGGCTGGTTGTCTCGGACAAAACTGACCTTATCGCGTCGTCAAAATCCTTGGGTCTCCGCATGGCCAGGATTATGAGGCGACTTGGCATCCCAGTATCATACAAGCTGGCGGCCACGGACCTTGGCGTGGACGTCAGTGCTGGGCGCAGGAGAGTAAAGAAGAAGGCCAACCAACGTCTGGCAGCAGCTCGTCGGCGTCATGGTAGAGTCCTTCGCCTTCGTCGTCTCGGACCCAAAGTTCGCAGAGTCTGCAGTTCACTCTGGAGCACGGGAGTTTTACCACAGGGTTGCTACGGCCATCAAGTTCTTGGCATGCCTCCCAGCACGTTGTTGGAGGTCAGACGCCAGGCAGGGTCGGCCATTGCAGGTACCAAGCGAGGCCGGTGCCTGACCTCGGTGCTGGAAGCGACCCTTGCCCAGAGGGACCCAGGACTCGAACTACTTCGTCAACTCTTGGAGACAGGGCTTCGTCTCTGGTTTGACAATCCACAATACCACAATCCCATTCGTTGGGCATGGTTGCGCATCCACAATGCTGTTGTGGTCAATGGCAAGGCTAGATGGCAGAGAGTTCGTGGCCCAGTTGCTGCAGTTATTGCCACCCTCGTCGATGCAGGTTGGGAATGCAAGCGACCAGAAGTTTGGACTCGGACTATTGCTGGCATTGAATGGATTTTCCCCAGAGCGGGCACACCTCAGTACCAGCAAGTCGATCTTCACGACATGCTACATGAATTCACGGCAGACCTCCGACACCAGCTTTGGAGGAAGGCCAGTCAATTTGAGGGAGCAGTTGACCTACAACACGGAGCTGATTTCTCTCAGAGCAAGCGTGAGCTGGACAAGTACGAACGCAAGCAGGACATGGAGAACTGGGGCCTCACCTTGACAGTGGTGTCTGGAGGCCAGTGGACTCGTGAACGACAACGTGCACAGGGCTACGCCACGGAGCCGCTCTGCAGGCGTTGCGGGCGGGAGCCTGAGACTCTCCTGCACCGAGTATGGCTGTGTCCAGCCAACTGT